GAGCGACTTGCAGGGCCCGATGGACAGCTGCTGCTTCTTCCTCGTGGCGACGATCTTCTGGGCCACTGGCGGGAAGAGACAAAAGTAGTCAACGTGAGGCTGGTTTGCAAATACCGAGAAGGTGGCCGGGCGGCCGCTGGTCCCCTAACCCTCCAGGCCCTCGGCAAGGGGACTCCCGCCTGTCAGCCCCTCGGGAGCATGACTCAGACGCGGCATCTCCCGGGGCCTCCTCCGCTCCTTCCCCTGCACCCCAGCTCAACGTGCTCATGGAAACAGGTCTGGCCGATGGGGTGACATCCGAAGGGCCAAGCGGCGGGCCCAGGAATCTTCCTGGAGGGAGCCGCCCGGCCCATTCCTTCCCCGTGTGTTTTTCTCCCTGCTGCTGAAAACGCACACGTTGGAGGCACCTTGGGAATCGAAGCCGCCCTGGTGGGACCCGAGATGGAAGGAGCCCTGCACCGACCACCTCAGAAACCTCCAATGTAAAACAGAAGAATACACGCCTATCTCGTTCCAATTATTCTAATAGTTGGACCCCCACCCCCACCCCCATTACTTGTGGCAAAAATAATCCTAAATAAGTCAGGGCAACGCGACCAAGCCCCTTGAGAAGTCAAAACTGTTTTCTGCAGTTTTTACTCTTACGGGCGCACAATTACATTCAAGGACGTGTAATTACATCAAAGACATTTTCTTTATTTAAATATATGGCTACACACATCGGAAGTTCCTCTTAATCAATACGCATCTGACTCCGGCCGTAACTGGTGCTGGCGAACGGGCTCGCGGGTGAAGCGCGTTGGGTGTCACTGGACAGAGCCGACAGTGAGGACGCTCTTCCCTCCCAGCAGGTGTCGCTGCAGGATCCTGACTACGGCTCCCATTCGAACGGACGGGCCTCTCTGGGGACGCGCTGTAGTTCAGCTCCTGGCATTCAGCCCTCGCGTTTGCCCTGCGCGTTGCTGTTTTCTCCGACCCCCTTGCCAAGGAGCCCCTGGCTGTCCCGGCCACAGGTTACGACATGGGGAGCACCCGGCGCCCGCGGGCCGTCTCTTCTCCAAACGAAGGCGATTTCAATAAGGAGCTGGTTTGTCCGGGGCGCCCGGCTTTCGCGCCGACGAATGATAGCAGAGATATGATTAAGTGAAAGCGCAACGTATAAAAAATGGCTCTCGGGCCGAGGCGCCGGCCTCATTAGGCACAGCCCACCTCCACCAGGCCCCTTATCATCCTGAAAGGATGGTATCAATTAATTTATCTTCCCGGAGCGTATTGATCACAGCCTTCATCAGCTAATCACGTTTAAATTACAGAGGAACCGCGGGGCTCTCCGTCATCTCAAGACCATCGGCGTATTGATCTGGGCTCTTTGAAGACGCATATTAGCGGATTTTATAAATCACTGTGGAAACTCAAAAATAAAATTTAGGGTCAGGTTCCAACAGCTGCAAAACATGTGTCGTGCGGCCGAGCTGAGATCCCAGGGACGGGGAGTAAATGAAGTTAAAATCGGGACTGGTTGGGGGATCGCCAACTTACTTATTTCGGGGGGGCTGGGGGAGCAAAAGGGGGTTTCTGATTATCAACGCGAATGCACTTCTATTTTACTGCAGCCTCAGTCGCTTTGCGGTTGGACGGCCAGAATGACTTTGATCTTAAAGCTCATTAAAAAGCGAGGAGGTCAGGCTCTGACCAGTTTCACTCCGTGGTTAGAGGGTCGGCCCTCGGACCGAAGGGTCCCGGGTTCAATTCTGGTCAAGGCCTCAGACCTCGGCCGGGCCGGGCGCCCGCGGGAGGCAACCAATCGCTGTCTCTCTCTCTCTCTCTCCCCAGGCAGCTCCTGCAAATGTTCTCTTCGAGCACAGACCTGAGAAACTTTCTAAGGTGAAGGCAAACGCAGGCCCCATCCGTCCGCCTGGAGGACAGGGAGAGCCACCTCAGGAGCCAAGGGGATGTTTCACCGCGGAGCCTCGGGTCCAACGCGGACAGCGCCGGGCAGGGCGCGACTCCTGGGTCAGGTGCGAAAGTCCCGCTCCCCACTTGCGTCCAGCACGGTCCCTGCGGAGCACGGGAAGCGCTTTTCTGGGTAAGCGCCGTGGCAAGCACACCGGCATCACTGGCAGCGTCTTCCAGCTCTACTCACCCGCTTCTGTTTCCCCACCGCGGTCGTGTCCGTCCCCAGAGGGAAGACAGGAAATGACTTACAAACACGTCGCGTGAAGTGGACTGTTTCAGGGGAGCAGGACGACCCGCAGAAGGAGGGCGAGCTCCCTGGAGGGCAGTGAAAGTACCTGACTTAAGACGGGAGTAAAGGGGCCCGGCCCGTGTGGCTCACGGCTGAGCGTCGGCCTGTGAACCGGGAGACCGCAGTGCGATTCCCGGTCGGGCACACGCCCGGGTACGGGCTGATCCCCCGCGGGGGCCTCGCGGGAGGCCGACGATCGATGGGAAGGGAGGGAACGAAGCGCCGTCTCCAGCGAGGCCGGGAGTCGCCGGGCTCCCCAGGGCCCACAGGCCGCGGCTGCCACATGTCCGTCCCAGGGGTGGGGCGATGCTTCTGCGCCCCATTTTAAGAATTTTCTGGACTGTTGGGTGGGCCGAGCTGGAGAGACCACCCGCCATCTAAGCGAGCACCGGGGCCCGTCCCTCCCGCGGCCTCGTGTGCGTCCTCGGGGTGACTCGCGCGACTGGAGGGAGGAGCTGGTCCCTGCGAGCGAGCCCCTCGCCCCAAAACCACGCCAAGGAAATGGAACTGGGGGGGGCACTGTTCTGCTGTAACTAGAACCATGGGGTTCCAGACCCTGAAACACGTTAACAGACTTAAAACATAAATGTTGCCCCAGATGCCATTTGTGGGGCGATTTTTATAACCACCGCGTTTTGCCCGCATTTGGTCATTCGACAAATGAGGATGTTACGTATTTTATATAAAAACGTGCGAATGAATGAGCCAGAAACACACGCGACGAGGTTGCCTAGGGCAGGAAAGCTTCATCCCCGAGACGTGGGTTTCTCGACACGGGTGCCTCACGTCCTCCGGGGTCGCCACGTGGGCGAGGCCACGGGGTCCGCAGCGCGCACCGGAGGCGTCCGCGGGTTCGCCGGGCTCCGGCCAGCTTCTCGGCCTCCTGCCAGCCCCGCACTAACCTCCATGTTTCCAACAGTCGCTTCCTCCGCTGCCTTGAGTTTGATTTGGGTAACTCACGGCAGACACCCGGTAACGACCCTTCCACGTATCCATGATCACAGTGTAACTGCAACACCAGGCAGGGAGGCCGCCAGGGCGAGGGGCCCGCTCCGGGCGGAGGGGCCCCGCTTGACCTGGTGAGGACTTCGAGACCATTTTCCAAGCCGAACCCTTGAGGATACTTTCACAGACTTCTTTCCATGCTTCAACGTCAGTGTAAGCAACAGGTGAGTCATGCACTTACTCTCTCCGCAGATTTTTAAATTTCTATCACGTGGATCAAACGAGATGTTCGGCTCCCAGATCGGACCTCATCAGACCTGGCGCGATGCCCGATTCCTGCCCCCGCTCTGCCCTTCCCATCGTTTGCTCCAGGAGGGAAAGAACAGGCCCGGCCACCCCGGGAAGCAGCCCCGCCTCTCAGTCCCCTGGAGCCACTTCTCCATCCTGCTTACACCTGACGACGCCCGTTCCCCAGACCGGACAACAAGGCGGAGGGACCACAGGCAGGGCGGGGCTCAGTCGGTCTGGCTCTGCGGCTGCTGGAAGCACTGCCACGGGGCCACGAAACCCCGTTTCCCCGCCAGCACCCCCAGACGCCACCCCTTCCAGGACAGGGATCCTGCGTCCCTCCGCTCTGTCCGCAATCCTCCAGCTTTATTTGGGTAACAGACAACGGCGGCCCGCACCCCAGGAGAGGCTCAGCCGACGAGGGTTCAAGCTCCACCTCCACGACCGGCCTTCCCGAAAGCGGCTGGACTGTCCCTGACGTCCCCTCCCGTTCTCCCGACCACCGCGGCCTGCGGCAGGGCCTGCCTTCGTCGAGATCACTGGAGACCGTCTGGAGGCGGCGTCTCACCTGGCCCCTGGGCAGCCCTCCTGTCCGGCATCCCTCCCTCCTTCCCTGACCCCGGCGGTCCAGGCTCCTCCCCGGCCTGCAGCTTCCCCTCCGCCTTCGCTGGCTCTCCCCCGTGGGCCCTTCCAGGCTTCCTCCTCTGACTGACCCTCCTTGGCCTCCATGCCCCACCCCCGGCAACCTCGCCACCTTGATGCCAGGGTTCCGCACCCACAGCAACAGCCTGGACCACCCTGTGTTCTAGAACCGTCTCCAACCATCACCCACAGCTCCCGGGAGGGAAACCGGAGCCTCACCCTCGGCCACAAACCTGCTTCTCCAGACCGTCTCCCTCCACTGACTACCCCCCACCCGTGGGAGACACAACAGACAGTAGGTTCTCCCACCAGGATCTCTCTCAAGTTCATCTCACGTCCACTGCCTCCCTCCAGACTGCTCAGTGGAGGCCCCGCACCCCAACCCCTGCCGGAGTTACGGGGCAGCTCCGCGCCTCACCCACACCTGGACTGGGTCCTGCAGCGTGTGCACGGGTGTGTACACACGTGGACACATACATAAGCGTGCACACACGTGTACAGTGCACACACACGTGCACGCACATGCACACCCGTACACACGCATGTACACGATGTACACAGGCGTGTGCATGCACATATGCGCACGTGCGTGGAGAGTCGGGGCCTTCCTTGCTGCGGGGACGCAGCTCCAGTCCTGGGCCCTGAACCCCTAGAGCCTGGTGTGTAAACTGCTCAGTCAACGACCGTAACAAGGGTCCCAAGCTGGACCCGCGATCACTGGCACCACTTCCGGCCGCCTGCTCCCGGCCGGGGCAGGGGCCGCCGCTGAGACGCCTGTTGCATGGCACCAGCTGGCACCCCCGCCATCCAGAATGAAGCACAAATCAAGCTTTTTAATTTCATTAATGACTATGACATTTTTGGCAGAGTCCAATAAATGTTGGTGAATTTAATCAGCAGGACACCCTCTGTGGATTAAATGATTGACTCGAATTAATCAATTAG